CCCTCTCTCGGCTCTGGGACGCGGAGCCGGGTGGGGAGAGGTGGGAGGCTGCTCGATCCCCAGAGGTGGCTAATTCGCAAGTTGCGGGATGAGTGGACGCTCAGGGACTGCACTCGGGGTGGAGAAGGGAATCAGGGCTTGGGTGGGAAGCCTTGGCTCTGGCCTGTCTCCCGGTCCTCCTTGCCTGGCGGAGACCTTGGAGCTGGCTGTGGGGTGTTAGGTCGCACCCGGGTTCCGCCTTCCCCGGGGCTTCCGAGACCCTCTTGGGGCAGGGCACCCCTTCCTTAGAGCTAATGGCGGAGCGGGATAACTGACTCAGCATATTCTTCCCCCACCCCTGTCTTTTCGATGGGGGATAGCAAGTGGGTGCCCAGATTGGGCAGCCTCCTCTGGAACCCCGCTCCTAGTGGACAGTCAGGTTGAGGCCCGGATGCCCCGCACGGAATCTAAACGTCGGGCCGCGGAGCCACCCGAGAGCGCAGGGCTCAGAGCGCACCACGGGGCGACACCTGGCGAGCATAGCAGGTGTTACAGCTTGGCCTCACTGGGGGACTGCCTCCTGGCTGGCCAGAGGTGCTGAATCCTTCCTATGATATACACTCCCGTCCAGTGAGCTAGGGGCTGCTGGACTCAAGTTTCAGCTGAAGAAATTGAGGCTCAGGGACGCGACGGTGTTTTCCTAAAGACCCCGGCTAGCGAGTGGCAGAACCCGATTAGAAACAAGGCTACCTCCACCACCACTGCCATCCCAGGCCATGCCTGCCTCTCCTCTATAATTGCTTTTTCATACCACGCACATGTTCCTTGAAAACTACCGTTCATGCATTCATTCACAACCCACAAATGCCTGTGCCCGCCATGGCGGGGGAACCTAGGCTATGAGGAACAAGAGAGACAAGGGTCTTTCTCTCTTGGAACTTGTGAAGGAGACAGACCAAACGTAAACAAATGCAAGTGGAGATAATAAAACAGAGTTATGGGAGAGACACACTGTGTGATGCATGGTTTGTTTTAGATCCAACAAGGTGGCATTTCAGCTGAGATCTGAAGGACAAAGGATTTAGGGGACTGACATTTCGGGAAGGAAAGGTGTTGGGCATGAGCCCCAGCAGGGCACTGGAGCTGCAGCCAAGAAAGAGAAAGAAAGCCATTGAGATGGGAAGGATCCCATGCAGCTGTATGGCCATGTCAGGGAGCCTAGATTTCAGTGGGAAGTTCAGCAGGAAGACATTGGAGGGACAGGAAGAAGGGTGACAGGTGTGTTCAAAAGCTCCCCTGGGCTGCCGTGGAGAACCCCCTGAGGAGATGGGAAGGGCTGGCCACAGTGGAGCCAGGCAGACCAGGGAGCAGGTCCAGGTATGAGACACTGGTGTTTGGGGGTCAGGTGGTGGTTTTGAAGCATGGCACAAAATTATTAGACATGCCTCCCATTGAGAGGTGGGTTCTCTGTGCTCTCCCTGCTTGAATTTGGGCTGATTTCTGAGGGCTTCGACCAACAAGGTGTGCCCAAAGTGATGCTGCAAGACTTGCAAGGCTATGTCATGAGAGGCAGTGCAGCCTCTGCCTTGGCTGGAATACCTGTTAGAGCCCTGAGCCACCACGGAGGTCTGAGGCAGCCACGCTGTGAGGAAGCCCAGGCATATTTAGAAGCCATGTGTAAGTGCTCCAGTCCACAGTCCCAGCTGAGTTCAGCATTGGAGTCACCCAGCTGGGTGCCAGACAGTGGGTGAAGGAGCCTCCATTCAGTCACTCCTGCCTGTGAGTCTCCGCAGCTAAGCCTCTGTAGACTGGCTTCTGTGGTCGTCTCCACTGTGTCCTGTCCAAATTGCTGAACCCCATGATTTGTGAAGATAATGAAATTCTCGTTTTGGCCACTGTGTTGCTGTTACTTGTGACACAGCAATCCTAATTGGAACAACTAGGGTGGAAGTGGGGTGCAGAAAGGAGGGAAGACACTGGGCCTGGACTCAGTGGAGAAGGGTAGGGGTAGGGAGAGAGAAGAGAGGAATGTACCTTGACTCTTATGCTAGCTGGAGTCCTTCATGGATTGAGGTGCTAATGAGTGCTGGGGTGAGGTGGCTGGTGAATTGAAACAGCCGAAGATTTGAGAGGCTACGTCACAGGTTTGTCTTGTCAGGTTTTTCCTCCTCCTGTCTCACCCACAGATTCCGTCAGCATGGAGCCCTCAGCAGTCTGCCTCCGAAGCATTGC